TTACATGTACAAGTATTGCAAAGAAAAAAAAATCGCTGCTCTAATTCTTAACACTTCACCATAGTATACATCTTATTTTTTTTCCTACTGAAACCAGGCTGAAACAGTATTGTAAGAAAAACCTAGGTTTCCCTAGGTCTGTCTTCTTTGTTCTCTGTTGTTTGTTTTCAGTGGGGGCGTTAATGGGCAGTTAATCCAGAGGTTAGGTTCAAACCTACTACTAATTTGCATATTTTAGGTCTAGTAGGTCTGAATAGGGCAGGTCGGGTAAACCCAGGTTAACCCAGGTTTGACCCAGGTGTTTGAATATGAGATCACCCCTTACAAATTAACCTGCATAACTTTTCCATAATTATTTTCTCAAAATATTTGGATCAATGTAAAAAACTAACAACAGATTAACAGGAAAATTTTACATTGAACAATTTGGCAAGAAAAATTATGGCATTCATACTGAAGCCTTTAACGTCAAGGTTACAAACTATGAGATACATTTACGTATAATGCAATTTGTTAATAGTCAGTAGTATGGGCATTACACGCAAGTGAAAGCCTATATTCCAAGTATTCCTAATTGGGACTAAACTCTCAAGTCATTGTTAGAACCTATTGATTGCTATTATTATGCTAACAAAGTCTCTATTCAGTCAGACGATATACAAAACTACAATGACATGCAAAACATATTGTCTGATGCATCCATTCAATGTTGCGTATTATTCCTCACAACAAAAAATGCAACACTGATTCAGTCAGAAAAAAAAAATGACAAAATAAATCAAATTTGAAAATTGTATTTAAAAACAGATGAATATTCACCGTTTTTCGAAGCCAGTGCTGCAAGTTACCAATCAGTCAAAGTGGTCATTTTGGGTTATTATCTGGAACTACTTTAATACTAAACTAGAGTATTGACAATGATAGGACACTTTAAATGTATACAGCGATTCTATCTATTTAGTATTGCTTTTCTTTTTCTCATAGTTTTCCTTTTATAGAAAATCTTCAATTAAACTGAAATGTTAGCCCCAAGTGATTTTTAGAAGTGAAAGACAGAAAACACTTATTTTAGTTTAAAAGCCAGGTTTTTACGCCCAACAGGCAGAGAACAGGGCATACCCATCAATGTTTGTGTAATTACATAGGTCTTTCACACTGAAAGGCTATCGATTTTCGTTATTTGGACTTGTTTGGATGTCTACGAGCAATGGATAAACAACTTTCCACAACTGGGTTCCTAATAAACTGATAATTAAATACAACAAAATATTATAATTGAATACAAATATTTCTAAATATTCATCCAAAAGATTATTAATTTTATTAAAATAGATATTTTTTCTTTTGCTTTCTACTTTTAGAATTATTAATAATTATATTTTGTTGCTATTCAGTAAACCAACTTAATATTTTACTATGGATTTTTATTTAAATGTCGATGGGGAACATTAAGACTACATCACAAACTAAATACGGTTACATCACAGTAATTTATTATTTACCAAACTTGACCATGTGCCACCTACTAATTCTTATTCTCCTAACATTTGCATGGTTCAAAACTGATCGGGAAATGAATGGAGCTAATGATGTGTTTCTTGTGGGCAGGTTAATTTCACACAAAAACCTGTTACCTGTATCCCAGGTAGCCAGAGACGTCAAACACATATGCTCACTGGCTTAACTGATTTAATTATGCCTGTACATGGGCCACTGAAAACACTGGAAAAATGCAACAGTAACCATGGCGATCAGGGTATAACTATATTGATTAGAAAGATCAAGGAATCTTTCCCATTATAAGGAAGACCTATTTTAACTCCTTAAGTACTGAAGTAACAAGTGAAGGATTTAACAAAATTTGGACTGATGGATCTTCAACTAGAAATTTATTAAATTTCTGTCATATACACAATACAATCCACATCACATCAATTAACCTTTTCACCACTAGTTTTCATCACAAATTTACAAAATAGTCCTATTTATAGTTGACTCAAATTTTGTCCATTGCCAAAATTAGGGTTCATTTCTAGAAATATTGAATACCGTAATAGAAGAAAAAAGTGCAAAAAAATTTTGACAAAAAAGTCTGGTGGCAAGAAGGTCTCATATCCGTAGAATTTCATATTTTGCAATTGTCATGAGACAAAAATAAATTAGCTTATCACTCTATGACCAGTAACACTAAACATGGTTAGATACTGGCAAGCCAAGAACATGGGGAGCAGAAAATACCTCAGTGTTTACATCACTCACTCTGTAAATTATTTCATCCATAAATGAAACATTATCAATGAATAAGATCAGGATGTTTTATTAGGTTAGGTAGTCGTATTTTACCATGAAAAAAGGTATTCATGTAAAACAAAACAAGGAGGTTGAGGTTTGCATTCATGTCTGGATACTCAAATGCATTTCTTTTTAAATAAAAAAAAAATATTTTAATTTACCTGCTGGTGGCTCAAAGCCAAAGTCTCTGGGCTCTTGTTTAATGTGGAAGCCAGGTACTCTGTCGTATAAGCCGTTTGGAAAGTCTTGTTTGTATATTCCGTAATTCGGTTCTGATGCTTGTCGATGGAAAGAACGCTGGTCTGGTGCTGGGGGAAAACATGGTTCTGAAGTCTGTCTGTGAAATCTAGAAAATGGTAAAAAGTAAGAAACAATTTACAGATAGGAAATTTAAAACTTGTATGTATATGCAACATACAAATAATTATTAACAATTTTGACTAAATATTTTTATAATTCTAAATTGAATTTCTGCCTTGTACCTACTGGAAAGAATAATTGGATTATAAAAACACATGATTGCATTGAAACTTTGTTACACAGGTCACACGAGATACAACTTTTCTACTTCAGAACAAAACAAATTATCAGGCGCAACAGGACATTTGCTTAATTGGAGGTGTGAACAGACGTAGATTGTTTTGTATTTGTTTTGTTTGGGGGCCATGGTACAACAGTGAGTACAAAAAACATTGCCATTTCATGACTTCAACTAAACTCCCTAGATTTATATGATATGCCTGAAAGCTACATAAAACAGACGCAAAAAACATTGATACAAATGTATACTCATAAATCTCTCAAAGATCAGATTTGAAAGTCATGTCACTATTTATTTGGTTTACAATATTCCTTTCATTTCAACAAAACACACATTTTCCCATATGTCCAATGATGAATACTGTCATTGCTATAATCACGACTCATCGAAAACTAACAGAACACTGTAGTATAACAAGGGGAAGAGAAGAGAGCAGCAATGGAAGAATGGGAGGGCAATTTTATAGCAGCAGGAGGAGAAAGGGAGGGAGGGGGTAGCATCCTAGTCGTAACAAGGTGGTAATGAATCAATTTCTCATGAGAAAAAAACACACACACACACACAACTTTTGAGCATTCTCTACAAAAGAAATACAAAGCCAACCAAGTTAAGCCTGCTTAATTGAGATAACTCTATTTAGGAAAGATGACAACACTGTACATTGTAATATCAAGTTTCAGTTATTTAAATGAAACAAAGAAACCATCTCTCATTAGCAGATAATTACAGTAACATTATAACCCCTGAATTAATACTTTTTAGATAATTTTTGAAATAAAACTCATATTTCATTACTATTTCCTGACAGTAAATTAAAGCAACCAAATATAACAATTAAGTCCTAAGATAGGTAATCCCTCCCTGGATGTGTCAAGTATCCTTACCTTTTTTCTGTTTGCGGATATCCCTGCTCTGGTGTTGGAGGATAGGAACCGCTGTGGTCTTTGAACGGTGTAAGCGGTGGACCTGGTGATTCCTGTGCTGGCGGAGATGTTGTAGGAGGCGGAGGATGATGCTCATAAGGACTGTTCACAAATGCTTTTTCTCCATATTCAAATTTCTGCTCAAAGTCAAAATTCGTTTTCATATGCGCGCAAGGCTTATTGTGGTAACTTGGACTCTTTGGTTCTGTTTTGATCTTTACATGGAAAGGCACTGATGTATTGGAAAGAAAAAAGAAACAAAAGAAATTAATCAACACTGCAGATAAATACTGTGGGAAAACATGTACAAACACAACAAATGATATATAAAATAATGACATGAAACAACTCACAATGAGAAGACAAATTTACATGAAAATAATAGAATGATAAAATCATCCTAAATAAAACCTTGACACACACTATCAGATTTTAAATGATCAAAAGATGAATGAATTTAAGTAAAAGTACAGGTTAAATTAACCGCAATGTACTATACAGGAATAAAGTGCAACAAGAGTTGTTAAAAGCAACAGGCAACATGCTTAGAAAACATCAATCAGTGCGAAAGTACATGCAATAACATCGACAGAAACAAATCATTAACTTTCACATTTAGAATAAATATACAAACACAAAATTAATACAAGCAATATTACATCAACTTCATGACTTGCGACTATTTCATCAAGTCAATGCTAAAAAAAAATTCTAAAAAAATCAATGTTAGATAGAAAAAATAAATATATAGACATACAGTCTGTACGGAGAGCTCCACTCATGGTTGAGCTTAAGGCTGATAGGTTCGATCAATTTGTGATGAACAATGCGGGAAGAGGAGTCCCTTTTAACAAGTGCGCTCAGGGCAGCCTTGACTATGGTTCTAAGCAGGCCCCCTTTGTTAGGCTACTTACGGAGCCAAAATAGCGGCCATAATATTAGTATCTCAGGGAGTCCTGCTAATTTGCATGAGAATACACTTATGTTATAACCCAAAGGGATGGAAAAGCATAAGCAACGAGTCAGTTGACACGATTGGAAGATAAAGACACTGAATATTCATGAGGGATACACACCTCCTTCAATGAAAAAACATAATATTTTGCTGTTTACTTTCTCTACGCACCAACCACCTGTATACAAGTGCCAATCATTTTGTTCATTGCCATAGTAACCAAAACATTCATTATAACTGAAGTTAAGTATCACTGATGGTTTGTTACAAGATTGAGTCATTTTAACAAGACAAACAGAAAGGACTCCCTCAATCTGTTTTTATTTTTAACTTGATAACAACTCATAGCACAATACAATTTTACACACTTTTCCTTCGAAAATAACAATTCTAATATATAGGGCAAAATAAATAATTTTTAGGAAGAAAAATTAATATTTTTTTAACGGTTATGCCAACTTCTATTAAGATTAGCATGACGTTTGATCCTATTTTTTTTTATGTACATAAAAACAGTTTTCCCAGTGAACACTTGGGTGAAGGACGGTGGAAACAAGTTTTCTCAATCTCCTATACTTTACATAGACCTAAAAAACATACTTCATAATTAGAAAGATATAAAGGAATAAAATATGGCGTTTTATAATATAGTGACCAATGTCATAATCAATGCAGCTCACCTATCTGCTTTGTCACGCCCTCAGGGTATTGATCAGATATAATGCAAGGTAATAAATTGTACTGATCACAATATCTATATGTTCAATTTAATAAGTTACGCTATCATTTAATCACTGGGAACATTTCACAAGATAATTAATAATAATAAAATCACAATAGTTGATTTTAATAATTGGATGGATTTTTTTTTCACATTTGAATGGTATAACTAATACTCTGAGCACTGGTACACCGGTTAACATTTTCACCTTGCATCAGAGATGTTGTGGGTCTGATTCTCAGAGCAGACTGCTTATTATGCTGTATAAATCAGAGTTCAGTCTGTCCTACCTTCCAAATGCAGTGTTATACTTAGGGAAAATAGTGCACATGTGCACTTGCAATTACCAGCTATGACAAAACACGTCAGGAATACAGAAACAAAAACTTCAATGTCCAGAAATGTCACTTATTTAAAAAATGTATTCTTTTATACATATTTAAACCCATTTGTCTATTTAAAAGGAAATCTTAGCAAATCCTCCAAGCCATGACAAATATTTTATTAAATTGTAAAAATTAAAATATTTTATAAAGAGACTCAAACCAGGTTTCACATTTAGTGATTATTTGGAGTAGATCTTAGGTTACTGGCAGAGGAAATACAGGATAGTTGGTTTAAACATCCTGTAACCTTTTCAATACCCATGACAGTGTTCATAAATCACAACCACAATCTTTTCCAGATTTTCTCAAAAATGTTTAAAACTGGCAATTAGAAATTATACCCCAAAATTTATGAAAAAAAATTGCAGAAAAATGAATAAAAATGGAAATTGCATAAAAATGAATAAAATGTGTAAAATGATGCATCATTTTGGTGCCACTGAAAAGTTAATCCTTTGAGTGCCTGATTTTTTTTCGATGCAAATATTTCCACATTTTGTAAAATTTCCAGCAAACTTCATTTTGGGATATGCAGTTTTAGATATTTTTTTTAGATTTTGATCAAAAAGTTTGTCAATTTTTATAAAAATTTCATGTGGGGAAAAGCAGTACAAAATCATTTTATAAATAAACCCAACAGTTGACAATGACGTTCAAATAAGTTAAAGATTCCCTTGTGAGTAAAATAAAAAATGTAATCACTTCAATAACTTTTTATTAAACAAGAGAAAATCAAATTATGCCCAATCCAAGTACTAACAAATATTTTTTTAAACAATCACTGTACTTGGCATTATTACATATAACTTTTTATGAAAATAAAAATTATAGTATGACCAACTAAAGTATAGAAAATTAATTTTAAAAGGAAAAAATTTACTGGACTTATTCAAAAAAAATGCTCTGCTGCCAAGTAGAGAGAATCAAGCAGCATAACATCTGTAAGGATATTGTTTTAATCACACTCTGACCTATTTAGCTAGTTGATTCTATACTATAAAAATAATAAATTTAGAAATCAGTCTTAAAAAAAACTAAATTTTTAAGAGTGAAAAAACAAACAAAAAAACAACAACACTCTAATACAGGCCTTATTTAATTAACAGTGAACAGATACGTGTAATATGGGTCCACAAATGACATGTGGGAATTTGAGCTGCTTGTTTTGGCCTTTGACCTCAGGAGCACAAATGGAAATCAATAGTTTCCGTTTTATGTCAACATACATGCAGACATGGTGCAGTTGCCAGGAGAGAAAAATATCTTGCTCTTAGTAACCCAGTAAATGAGGTTATATCCTCAGTTATTTTTGAAGGTCGTCACTTTGAAGGAAAAAAAAATTGCCCATCTTTTTTAAAATCAAAATTAACTTTAATTAATTTTTTTAATTAAAAAATCAACTTAAGCTACATAATTGCATTAAGCATGTCAAAAAGGGATGCATCACTGTAAAACAACAAATGTTAGCTCCAATAATAAGATGATTGGCACTCTTTAGCCATGTAAATGTCCACATTTATTTTGTGTAAAGTCTTTTACAAATTCATGATTCAAAAACACAACAATGTATGTATACATTGAGATTTATTTATATGAAGTGGTCAGATTTCACTCTGCATTTCTAATTATCAAGACATAATTAATTAAAGTAATCAGCTTAACTATGACGCATAAGATTTACAAATAATTTGTTTAAAACATTTGATTTAGAATCAACAAGTTGAGATGCAACATCACATAAAAGAAATGTACTAAAAAAACACCAGGGGTATTCACACCCAACTATGGCCCTGTTTTAATTTTGCAAGAAACGCATCTTCGCAAATCCTTAAAAATTGTTAAATTGTGTACAGCAGGGAATTTTAATATCTAAGTTTTTTTATGAATAACATGAATCATAAAATTAAGAACATTTATAGCCGTGAAAATCACACAACATTTTTTTTTAAATATGAGTTGCACATACAAATAAATTCAACTAGGAAACCTCTGATAGTATTGTTGTTTTTATTTTCAGATAACATAAAATAGCTTATTTTGATATAAAGTTTTCTGAACTCACAATTCTCACCCTGAAAGTCTGGTACAAATTGTTCGGCATCACCATCACTGTCATAGGGGAGACCTAGGAGGAAATAAATAAACAATTAAAAAAACTACTTACAATAATCAGGATAGACAAGGTGAAAAAATATATATATAATTAAAACTAAGTAAGTTCATCATGTTTTTACAAAAATTTAAATAATTGTTAACTGAAAAAGTTAATTTTCTTCAAAGGATCTTTGTTATAAACAACTCCAAACTTTTTACACAAGAAATCTGTCTTGTATTTTACACCATTGTTTTAGTGGTTTTATACCATTGTTTTAGTGGTTTTACACCATTGTTTTAGTGGTTTTATACCATTGTTCAGGTGTGGTGGATGTTACACAATACAGCTTTTTAAAGATCATGTCCAACTTTAAGTCATAAAGTTGATGAAAATTCCTTCACTTTAAAAGGACAACAAGATGTTATTTGCATACCTTCGGGCAGCCATTCTTCCTGAAGTTGGCTCAAATCTTGGAAAAGCTCTACAAGACAGAATAAAAACAAAAACTCGTGATTAAAAGCAATTTTAAACTAAACATTCACGCCTCTCATTCAAAATAAATTGAATAGGTGATAATAACAACCTCACACTTGGGCGACACTTGGTAATTGTGGTAGAACCACCTCTAACTTAGATGACGTAAGAATTTAAAAAAGAAAAAACGTTTTACCTTCTGAATCCTGTTCCAGATCGATACCCAGTTTATCATCATTGGATGTTTTCTCGTCGTCACTTGGGACTCTGTCCTCGTCTGGTACATCTTGGTCAGGCACAGACTGACCATAAAAAGAGAAGAATATTGTATTAAAAAATGGCGCACAGCTTTTGAAATGTCCCGAGAAAAAAAAAGAGAGAAAAAAAACAGTTGAAAGACGTAAAGGAAAATATGGATAACTTACCTCGGGATAGTAATAAGGCACTTCTTGATCGTAAAAACTGTCCAGCTGACCTGCCATTGCGTGGTTACTTAAAACTCGGAGCTTTCTCCCCAAAACTGCCTCTGTGTGATCGTGGGAAGAAACAGAACTTTGAATGAGAACATCGACCAACTTACTAATTCTGCATAACTAATGAGCTGAGGCTGCGAACGCCATTCTCCACAGGGCTTCACGAACGTCGAAATTAGCGAGAAAAATGAACATTAAATAAATGACAGCACTTGGAAACGCAAGGACAGTATCTGATGACACAGCATAAATAGAAATAACACGCAAAATAAACGGGCTATCGCTAAATTAGTAGTTGTCATACAGAACAGTAATGACATACATACTGTCCCTAATAAGTTATATGAACGCAGTCAGTACACAGCGCCAAAACTGGCCCGTCAACGAAAACGAAGCCTTACCTCAAAACTACGCCGATGACCCACTAATATAGCCCTCCAGTTCGACTCAGGGTTAAACACGATTTAGTATTATTAAACAATAATCACTGGCATGTGTTGTATTTCGCTAGAACTGGGCCAAATCTCGATACATTGTACCGTACCATGCGAAACGTGGGTGAGCGGAGCAAATTCAGTGAGCAAAAATCAGCTATAGAGCGGCCATATCGGTTGACCGAAACTCGGCCTCTCATTGGCCCATTTGTAATGAATGTACCTGTTTTATTGGTGCTTTTGTTGTAGCTGTCAATCAATTGAATATATTAGCTTCTGATCTATCTGTTACACAAAACCGTCCAATCAGGCAGTAGCTGTTGCCATACCAACATGTGACGTCAATGTGACGTCACTTGTTTATCATTAATGTGATGACGTCACAATAGGTTTATTGACTATGTATTACCATAAAAATGGGCATTAGTTTAACAGAACCAATCGTTATCGACCTCTGTTGATCATTCATGTTTTATTGACAAGACTGTGGTTTGGCTCCAGCGAAAACATTTCATTCACAAAGAATAGGATAAACAACGTGTCCTCTTATTGACTTTCGGGATTTTCAGTGCTTAAAAGCAGAAACGGGGATATATTCTGAGGCCGAGTCCTCATCACGGTGTTAGATATCAGCTGCGGTCTCAGTGACGACAGATCATTACGGATCCGTCAGGAAATTTCGGCCAATCGTCCGTATGGCTCGATGCTAAAAATAACTTATGTAAACCCGCCTAATTGCAATTCTATCTATAATTTGACACGCCCCCTTTTGCTTCTGAATGTCAGCTGGACGTGCTCGAGCTGTCAAAAAGGGTTCCAGCGAGCTGTTGGTTGTGTCAGCATATTATTCTACAGTTTCTTCAATGGATTCTCTTGGCTCTTATCACTGACTGCCGCCAAGCATCGATCGATGGCAACTACAACTCCCTACATACAGTTCTACCAGTGGGACCCACTTACGAACATCGTCCCATAAGTTATACTATTAAATATAAGCGGATGTCAGTAAAAACTTCCAGAAATAGTCAAACTACCCGTAAAATTCGGATACAATTACCAATATAAGGAACATGATGACACACACTAGACGGTTTGTTTAAAATTAAACAGACGAAGTAAAAATATCTCGTGCTCTGAAAACGGGTTGCAGCTTACGCTGGCGTGACATGTTCTGGAACGGCGTGGTGGCTATGATAGTGTGACGACTGGGTCAAACTGGACTTCCGAATCACCGATGTTGTCAATGTGACACACAATGGTCGAACGATTACATCTATTCATATGCACAGTAGCTTATAGTTAAAAACATTAAAAAAACTTCCAGTTCAATTCAGTCCTGTTGTCACGGCGATTGGTTTACAAAAGACAACCTTTGATTTGTAGCTTTGAACAATGCAATGGGAAGTCATGTGTCCCGAGTTAAGTGTTACTGAGGACAATATGCCTTCTTTCACGGTGCGTTATATACCTTCACTCGGTCTCACTCACTGGTTTCCAGACGCAGACAGTATTTTAAAAGTCTCTGACTGTTCTAAAAAAATAGGGATTAAATATAAATATAGATAGAAATCACGGATTTGTTATTTGCGTGCGTGTGTAAATGTAGGCGTGTGGGATAGACAAGATAGGAACGCACACAATACACAGTCCAATAAGACGCAAAATACAGTATCACAACAATTACAAAATAAAATAAATCTAGGATTTGGAAAAAAATAAAATTCGCCAAGATGAATAATGTGGGTCACTATAGGAGTGACCTTTTATGAGTCGCAGAGATTCGCGTGTTGTCGGCGATGACCAACGACCTCGTTCAGTTCATTTGTCCGATCGCGTAGATAAAAACCCAAGTAGTGAGTATTTATAATCGGTGTTAGCCTCGTTCCCATACGTTCTATTTTATCTGGGTCACTGAATTAGGTAAATCCATGTCAATTATAATATTTATTAATAACCATCGCTGCGTAACAAAATCCCGATTAAGTAAATTCGACACCAAAATTGCAACTTAGGTTGTTGAAATTAAACACATACAAAATGTGTATTACTTGGAATGATCACCTGTCTAATTCTTCCCAAGTTCATGAAATAGATTGGTAATTGTAACAAATAAAGTTAAGTTAAAAAAACAGTATTACAAATGATTTTATGGCATTTAATGAAACAAAAATAATGTAGCTATTTACCTAATGTAATACGTTTTACAAAAATGCAATAAAGTTGTAGTATTATGAAATAGAACTCTAAGGCCTGTCGTTATTCTGACAATTGTTGAAAATAGTGTGGTAGCTTATTAACTAAAACTAAGGTATTACGCCACTTCCCCCACGGGTACAATGAAAGAGTGGTAGTCGTCGCGCTGCGCATGCGTGAGATATATGGGACTCATATAAACAAAGATGGCGACTTTGGCTGTTGCGCAGATCAACGAGTACAAACTGGGACGTTACCAAGCTTTAATTAGGTATTTTTAGGTGATTGGAGGTATCTAAGTAGTTAACGGCGGCAATTAGTGAAAGTCGCACTCAGGTCACACTGTAGTACTTGTGATTTCCATTAGAAGAGTGCATTGGATTGTGGGAAAATCAATGTAAACACAAATTTAAGTATTTTGTTACGACTAGTAGTTTGTAAACTTGAGGTATGAAGTACACACTTACTAATTTAGTTCTCAGATGAAAATTTGTGCACTATGCAAATGAAGTATCAACATAAAAATAAACTTGTCATTTTCTTCGAAATAAAAATGTTTGAAACCAAATGGAATCTCACACTACATACATCGCCACGGTAAGCAGTCATGTGACCATCTGTCCCACGTGATATACAACCATCCAATCATATTAGTCTCAATACGCCGTACATACTCCCCATATATGGCATTGTGAATACAATGCAAGTTTTTAAAAGTCATTGTCTACCACGGAAATGACTTCATGACTCTACATTGCCCGACTTCTTAGATACACTCAGATAGACTGACTTTAAAGTCACCATGGAAACCACGATTTGACAAAATGGTGGTGAACTGATTTTGAAGTGAAAATAAATTACCGCGCGAAACGCCAGACTTGGATGAACTTATGTCTTAGTGATAACAAGGCTGTTGTCATGTCAACAAAATTGAACCGCGAACTGATAATTTATATGGACTACTAGTATTGTACGAGTTGTTTTGTTTCTAGGCCACATAGATGCAACAGTACAACACGATATTTTAGCGGGAAACCGACCGACCATCTTTGAAGTAACCGATGGAGGTCGATCATTCCTACATCAAAGACTGTTTGATTTAAGCGCTTCAAATGTCTTATCGGTTTTCGATGCTTCCAAGAAACCAATCACGTGTCTGATGTAAATACTCGACGAAACCAAGAGCCTGTCGTATCTACTTTTTGTTTTGCCACAGTGGAATTCGCTGTGACGTCACTAAACCTTTATTTTCATTTGACGCGTTGCATACACGAAGTTGGTCGAAACAAGATGTCGACCAGAGAATAAAGATGTACTCATTTATTATGTTCGGATTTTATATACCTTTTTAGTATTTCAACATATTTTAACCAATGCTAGCTCACCGAAAATACACGAGACCACCTCCCATGCTTACCAAAACCATGCCACACCTCCATGCCAAAACGGCAATCACCTAATGCAGGATACTCACGTTATCACGTGATTTACATCAACTCGTCTGATCAAGGCATATCCCCGTCATTACTCTATTGGGACAATAGCAACCGCCATACCTAATATGCCAGTATAATGCGCATACGAATTCCTGTATCATCATGATCAGTTAGCATCAACAGTTGACTGTGATTAGAAAGTGCGTCTAATTTTTGTTGGTTATTATTCACACCAAACGTATTCATGTTAGTGTACTATGTATATGACATGAAGTAATATATCATGCTGTAACACACCCCGAGGCGAAGGCGAGCAGTATTTCCTAAAAAAAATTGGCTAATCCCTTGGAAGTACACAAATGCACAATAATTAGCAGTTGTACCGGTATTTGTTAACTTCTAAAAGTGTTCGTGTAAATGTCTGTATCGAGAAATCAGTAACCGTGGTGTCTATGTAGTAACCGTGGTGTCTATGTAGTAACCGTGGTGTCTATGTAATAACCGTGGTGTCTATGTAGTAACCGTGGTGTCTATGTAGTAACCGTGGTGTCTATGTAGTAACCGTGGTGTCTATGTAGTATCCGTGGTGTCTATGTAGTAACCGTGGTCTGTGTGTAGTAACTGTGGTATATATATAGTAACCGTGGTGTCTATGTAGTAACTGTGGTCTGTGTGTAGTAAGCGTTGTATATATGCAGTAACCGCGGCGTTTATGTAGTAACCGTGGTCTGTGTGTAGTAAGCTTTGTATATATGCAGTAACCGTGGTGTCTATGTAGTAACCGTGGTGTCTATGTAGTAACCGTGGTGTCTATGTAGTAACCGTGGTCTGTGTGTAGTAAGCATTGTATATATGCAGTAACCGCGGTGTTTATGTAGTAACCGTAGTCTGTGTGTAGTAACCGTGGTATATATATAGTAACCGCGGTGTTTATGTAGTAACCGTGGTCTGTGTGTAGTAAGCGTTGTATATATGCAGTAACCATGGTGTCCATGTAGTAACCGTGGTGTCTATGTAGTAACCGTGGTCTGTGTGTAGTAAGCATTGTATATATGCAGTAACTGCGGTGTTTATGTAGTAACCGTGGTCTGTGTGTAGTAACCGTGGTATATATATAGTAACCGTGGTGTTTATGTAGTAACCGTGGTATGTGTGTAGTAAGCGTTGTGTATATGTAGTAACCGCGGTGTTTATGTAGTAACCGTGGTCTGTGTGTAGTAAGCGTTGTATATATGTAGTAACCGCGGTGTTTATGTAGTAACCGTGGTCTGTGTGTAGTAAGCTTTGTATATATGCAGTAACCGTGGTGTCTATGTAGTAACCGTGGTGTCTATGTAGTAACTGTGGTGTCTATGTAGTAACCGTGGTCTGTGTGTAGTAAGCATTGTATATATGCAGTAACCGCGGTGTTTATGTAGTAACCGTAGTCTGTGTGTAGTAACCGTGGTATATATATAGTAACCGCGGTGTTTATGTAGTAACCGTGGTCTGTGTGTAGTAAGCATTGTATATATGCAGTAACCGC